ATAGTACTCAGTCCTGATCATCTAGTAAGCGTGATGAGAGGATCCAGGCAACTGTGAAGCCCATCCTACAACCTCACTTGGCTAGGGAACCAAGCCAGCAGTCTTATCTATTTTTAGACAGTAACTTCCCACCCTCCCACCCCATACCTTTCTCAGAGGTTGAACAGTTACCTTGCCCAAAATTAGAACATAAGATTAGGCCCCACCTTCCCAAAGGCATTACCAGCAGACACACCTGGAATCCCAAATTGAGTTGACTGGTGAGGAATTGTCTCTGCTAAAACCTATAAAGTCTGGAAGAGGAGCTCCATTAAATTCGTAGATACCAAAGTGAGGAATCAAGGATTATAAAAAATTAGGGAAATATGAGGATATATTCCCTGATACTTTCAGGGATAATTTCACCATCAAAGGAACCTAATAAGACTGCAGTAACTGACCCTACAGAAACAGAGATCTGTGAACTGTCAAAGAATTAAAAATAATTCTTTTAAGAAAGTTTTAGTGAACTATGAGAAAACACAGACCATTAAATGAAATTAGGAAAATAATGGAAGAAATCAAAACAAGGAGATTGACAAGGAAATAGCAGCCATCAAAAAAAAAAAAAACAAAACAAAAAACTTGAGTTGAAAAATATAATGACTGAAGAATTCAATAGAAAATTTCACAAGTAGACCTGACCATACAAAGAATTAGCAACGTGGAGGGTAGGACATTGGAAATTACCTAGTCAGAGGAGCAAAAAGAAAAAAATGAAGAGTGAAGAAAGCCTTCAGGATTATGGGACACAATGAAAAGAAATAACATTTTCATTATGGAAATTCCAGAAGAAGAAGAGAAAGGGACAGAAAGTATACTTAAAGCAATAATCGCTGAAGACCTCCTGAACCCGAGGAGAGAAATGGATCCTCAGATCTGTGAGACCCAAAAAACCCTACTAGGTTGAACCCAAATAGGGCTAAACCAAGAGGTATTATAATTAAATTGTCAAAAGTAAAGGACAGAAAGAATTTTAAGAGCAATAAGAGAAAAGAGGGAAGTTACATATAAGGGAAACCCCGTAAGACTGTTAGTGAGTATCTTAACAGAAACTTTTCAGGCCAGGAGAGAATGAGGTGACATATTCAAAATATTGAAAGAAAATAATTATCAACAAGAATTCTGTACCTGGCAAAATCATCCTTCAGAAATGAAGAAGGATATTTTCCTGAGTAAACAGAAGCTGAAGGAGTTCATTACCATCAGACCTGCCTCACAAGAAATGCTAAGGGGAGATCTTTGAGAGGAAATAAAACAATGGTAATTAACATTATAAAAACACAAAAAGGTAGTATAAATATCACTGGTAATGGGAAATATATAGTCATAGTTAAATTCTCCAATATGGTAATAGTGGTGTATAACTCACAACTCTAAAGTTAAGAATGTGGTGAAAATATTCATAAATGTAATAATTTGTTATTACAGTGTAGAAATCAGGTAAATTATAACAGCAATAACCTAAAATGTGAAGGGGAGAAGTAGAAATGTAAAGTATATGAATTCTATTGAAGTTATGTTGTTATCAGTTTAAAATAGGATGTTGTGAGTTTCAGATATTTTATGTAAGCCTCATGGTAACCACAAGGGAAAATCTTATAGTAATTACACAGAGGAACACAGTAAAGGAATCAAAGCATGTTAATACCAAAAGACATCCAAACACAAAAAAGATAAATAATGAACAATGGGGGTGTCTGGGTGGCTCAGTTGGTTAAGCGTCCAACTTCGGCTCAGGTCACGATCTCACAGTTTGTGAGTTCGAGCCCCCCCGTTGGGCTCTGTGCTGACAGCTCAGAGTCTGGAGCCTGCTTCCGATTCTGTCTCCGTCTCTCTCTGCCCCTTCCCTGCTCATGCTCTGTCTCGCTCTCTCAAATGTAAATTAAAAAAAAAAAAGGTAAAAAAAAAAAGGAAACAAAAATAATATAAAAACAGGGAGGGGGACAAAACAGAAGAGACTCATAAATATGGAGAACAAACTGAGGGTTACTGGAAGGATTGTGGGAGGGGGGATGGGCTAAAAGGGTAAGGGGCACTAAGGAATCTACTCCTGAAATCATTATTGCATTATATGCTAACTAATTTGTGTGTAAATTTAAAAAATAAATAAAATTTAAAAAAGCAAAAAAAAAAAACAAAACAAAACCAGAAAACACAAAACAACAAAAAAAGAAATAATGAACAATGGACCTACAAAACAACCATGAAACAGTTAACAAAATAGCAATTTTTTTAATGTTTGTTTATTTTTGAGACAGAGAAGACAGAGCATGAGCGGGCAAGGGGCAGAGAGAGAGAGGGAGACACAGAATCTGAAGCAGGCTCTAGAGAGCCTGACATGGGGCTCGAACCCATGAACTGTGAGATCATGACCTGAGTTGAAGTTGGTTGCTTAACCTATTGAGCCGTCCAGGTTCCCTAAAATGGCAACATTAAATTCTTACCTACAAATAATTACTTTAAATATGAACAGATTAGATTCTCCAATCAAAAGACATAGAATGGCCAAATGGGGGGAACAAAAAGATCCAATAATATCCTGCCTAGAGGTGACTCAGTTTAGTCTTGAGAAGTGAAGGAGTGGAAAAAGACATTTAAAGCAAATGGTAACCAAAAGGAGGGGTAGCTGTAGTTAGAGAAAATAAGATTTATAAGCAGTTTTTTTTTGAAGTTTATTTATTTTGAGAAAGAGAGTGTGCTCATGTGAGTGGGGGAGGGGTGAAAAGGGTAGGGGAGAGAATCCCAAGCAGGCTTTGCACTGTGAGTGCACAGAGCCTAACGCCAGGCTTAACCTCATGAACTGTGAGGTCATGACCTGAGCCTAAACCAAGAGTCAGCTACTCAGCTCAGCCGCCCAGGTGCCCCATTTATAAATAAGTTTTTTAAAAAAGTTTATTTATTTTGAGAGAGAGCATGAGCAGGGGAGGGGCAGAGAGAGAGGGAGGGAGAGGGAGAGGGATAGGGAGAGGGAGAGAGAGAGAGAGAGAGAAGAATCCCAAGCAGGATCTGGCTGCCAGCAGGGAGTCTGACACCTGGGGGTCCATTCCATGAACCGCGAGATCATGACCTGGGCTGAAATCCAGAGTTGGACGCTTAACTGACTGAGCCACTCAGGAGCCCCTAGAGGAAATAAGATTTTAACTAAAAATGGTAAAAAGAGAGAAAGAAGATCTTTACATAATGGCAAAAGTGATAACATACCAAGAAGCTATAAACATTTGTAAATATTTATGTATCCAACATCAGAGCACCTAAAAATAGTAAAAACTAACAGAGCTAAAAGGAGAAATAAACAGTAATACAATATTTGGGGACTTTAATACCCCACTTTCAAAGGTGGATAGATCATCCAGACAGGTAATCAATATGGTAGCAGCTTTGAGCAACACTATAGACTGAATGGACTTAACATACATATGCATAACATTCTATTCAACAACAGCAGAATGCACATTCTTCCCAAGCACACATGGAACATTTTCTGGGATAGACTGTATGTTCACAAAGCTTGTCCTTACCAATTCAAGAAGATTGAAATCATACCAAGTGTATTTTCTGACTACAATGACATTAAACTAGGAATCAATGGCAAGAGAAAAACTGGAAAATTCATGAACACATGAAAATTAAACAACACTGTGCTGAGCAACCAATGGATCAAAGAAGAAATTAAAGGGGAAATAAATGTTTCTTGAGACCAATGAAAATGCAGGCACCACATACCAAAACTTAAGGGATACAGCAAAAGCAGTTCTAAGAGGGAAGTTCATAGTAATAAGCACTTGTTAGTAAATAGATTGAATCAGTAGTCAAAAATCTCCTTGTGAAGAAAAGCCTAGGACCACATGGCTTCATGATGAATTTTACCAAATACTTAAAGAAGAATCAACACCAGCCCTTCTCAAACTCTTCTAAAAAGTCAAAGAGGAGAGTATATTCTCAAGCTTATTTTAGGAGGCTAGCATTATCCTGATATCTAAACCAGGAAAGGACACTGTTAGAAAACTATGTGCTAATATATCCCTGATAAATATAGGTGCAAAAATTCTCAGTAAAATGCTAGAAAACAAAATTCAGTAGCACATTAAAAGGATATTTCTCCACTATCGAGTGAGATTTATCCCTGGGATACAATGGTGATTCAACATATGCAAATCAATCCATGTAATGTATTGCGTTATATAGAATGAAAGAGCCATATGATCATCTTGATAGATTCAGAAATAAACATTCAACAAAATTCAGCATCCATTCATGATAAAAACTCAAGAAGTTAGAGATAGAAGGAACATATCTCACTATAATAAAGACCATATATGACCAGCCCACATGTAACTTTATACTAAATGGTGAAAGAACAAAAGTTTTTCCTCTGTGATCAGAAATAAGACAAAAGGGCCCACTCTCACCACTTGTATTCAACATAGCTGGCTAGAGCAATCAGTCAAGAAAAAGAAATAGAAGGTATCTGAATTGGAAAGGAAGAAGTAGAATTATTTATTTGCAGATGGCATGATTTTATATGGAGAAAACCCTAATGCCTCAACCAAAAAACTTAAATTTAATCAATGAATTCAGTAAAGTTGCAGGATATAAAATTAACAAAAATCAGCATTTCTGTGCACTAACAGTGAAATGTATGAAAAAGAAATAAATTGATCCCATTTACAATAGCATCAAAAACAATAAAATACTTAGGAATAAATTTAAGGAAGTGAAAGATCTCTAAGCTGAAAGCTATAAGACATGAAAAAAGTGGAAGACAAAAATAAATGGAAAGATATCCTGTGTTCATGGTTTGGAAGAATTAATATTGTTAAAATGTTAATACTACTGAAAGCCATCTATAGATTTGGTGTAATCCCTATCAAGATTCCAATGACATTTTTATAGAAATAGAAAAAAAAAATACTCGTTAAGATTTATATGGAACCGCAAACAATCCCAACTAGCAAAACAAATTTTGTGGAAGAAGAATAAAGCAGGAGGTATCACACTTTTTGATTTCAAGCTATATAATAAAGCTGTGGTTATTAAAACAGTATGATACTGGCCTAAAAACAGACAAATTGATCAATAGAACAGAATTGAGAGCCCAGAAATAAAACCAAGCTTTATGCAGTCAACTAATATTTGACAAGGGAGCCAAAAATGCTCAGTGGAGAAAAATAGTCTCTTCAATAAATTGTGCTGGGATAACTGGATATTCACATGTAAAAGAATGAAACAGGACTGATATCAAACACCACTTGCAAAGATTAATTCAAAATGGATTAAATATTGAAATGTAAGACCTGAAACCACAAAGCACCTAGAAGAAAACATAAGGACAGAGCTCCTTGATGTGGGTCTTCGTAATGAATTTTTGGAGATGATACCTAAAGCAAAAGCCACAAATTAAAAAAACAAGTGAGACTACATCAAACTAAAAAGCTTTACGTGGCAAAAGAAACCACTGAAAAGTTGAAAGACAACTTATGGGAAAAAGAAATTTGCAAACCATAAATATGATAAGGGGTTAATATCCAAAATGCATAAAGAACTCATATAACTCAATAGCAAAAGATCCCCCCTGCCCCCAAGCCAAAAAACCCCCCTAAAACCCCAATTAAAAAAGGGCAAAGGATCCAAATAGACATTTCTTCAAAGAGGATAAACACTTTTTGTGAAAGACCAAGAGGGGCATGCAAGAATGTTCAACTTGAGTAGTCACTAGGGAGACAAAACCACAGTGAGAGAACACATCATGCCTGTTGGAATGGCTATCATCAGAAAGACAAACTGTAACAACTGTTGGCATAGCTATATAGAAAAGGGAACCCTTGGGCATGTTGGTGGAATTGCAAATGGTGCAGCCACTGTGGAAGAAAGTTTGGAGGGTCCTCACAAAATTAAAAATTGAACTACCACATGATCCAGTAGTTCTACTTCTGGGAATATATCCAGAGGAAATGATAACACTTACTTGAAAACATATCTGCACCCCCATGTTCATAACAGCATTTTTTTACAGTAGCCAGAACATGGAATCAACCTAAGTGTATATCAGTGGATGAATAGATAAAGAAGTTGCTATATATGATATAAATAATATTCTGTTATTTATATGTGTGTGCTTGTATGTATATAAATTAAAAAAATGAGGAAATCTTCCCATTTGCAACAACATGAATGGACCTTGAAGGCATTTAAGTGAAATTGGTCAGAGAAAGACACACACTGAATGATCTCATTTATACGTGGAATCTAAAAACAAAAACCAACCAAACTCAGAAAAAGAGACCAGACTTGAGGTGGGGTTTGGGGGTATGGGAATTGGAGAAAGGTGCTCAAAAAGTACTGACTTCCAGTTATGAGAAAAATCACTAGTGGGGATGTGATATGCAACATGATGACTGCAGCTAACAGTGCTGTGATACATGGGGACATTGAGAGAGTGAATATGATGAGTTCTTATCACAGGAGAAATCTTTTTTTCTTTTATTCTTCTTTCTTGGGATGCCTGGGTGGCTCAGTTTGTTAAGTGTCTGACTCTTGATTTTGGCTCAGGTCACGTTCTCACAGTTCAGTTCATGAGGTCGAACCCTGCATTGGGCTCTGAGCTGACAGTGTGGAGCCTGTTTGGGATTCTCTCTCTCCCTCTCTCTCTGCCTCTCCCTTACTTTGTCTCTCTCAAAAAGAAATAAACTTAATACAAGTTTTATTTTTCTCTTTTTGTAACTATATGAGAAAATGAATGGCAGTTGAACCTATTGTAATCAGTTCACAATATATGTGAACATACACCTAAAACTTATACAGTGATGTATGTTATTTCTCAGCAAAACTGGAAAAGAGAAAGGAAAAATGAAAAGAAAAAAGACACTACTTCAAGGACAGAGCTGGCCTCTCAGGAAAAGTCTTCTTAGGCTTAGCAGCTTCCAGGGACCATAGTTGGTACTCAACAGATGCCTTAGGTCAATTAAATAAATAGTAATTGAGTATATACTGTCAACCCATGTCTGGGGCCATGGGAATTGTAAGGACATGGGACTTGAGGAGATCACTTAATCATTTATTCAGCTAATATTTTTGGACTATTTACTACAGGCCTGACACTGTTAGAAGTGTTTAGGCGACAGTGGTGAACAACACATGAAGCTACCATTTTATTCATTTATTTATTTAAAAAAATTTTTTTAAGTTTGCTTATTTCAAGAGGGACAGAGTGAGTGGGGGAGGGGCAGAGAGTGAGAGGGAGTGAGAGAATGCCAAGCAGGCCCTGCACTGTCAGCACAGAGCCCAGTGTGGGGCTCAAAACTCATCAAATGTGAGACCATGACCTGAGCTGAAACCAAGAGTCAGACACTTAACCAACTGAGCCACCAGGCACCCCATGAAGCTAACATTTTAAAAGGGAGATACTGACAGAAAACAAGTGGGCTAACAAGGTGACAATGATGGGGGATGTGGATATAGAAGGAAAGTAGAAGTTGAGGCGGCTTGGATTTGGACGTCAGGAAAGACTTCTGTAAAGAGGTGACGTTTAAGCCAAGAGCTCAGTGAAGCAAAGGAGGTAGCCATGAGAAGTTTTAGGGGACAGTTGTTCCAAGCAGAGTGAAGTGTAGGGGCAAGGCCCTGAGTCAGGACAAACTTAGAGTCTCCAGGAATGGAAAAGAAAAGCAAACAGGGGGAAAGGGCTATGTGGTAAAGGGTAGTAAAAAAGGCAGTGGCCAGATCTTGTAGGGCTTTGTAGGCCACAGAAAGTAATTACACGTTAGGGCAGGTCACAGAATTGAATATCCAAGGGTAAACACCCAACGAGAGAAGCAGAACTTGTTAGTGGTCTGCTACAGTCCTGTGTATTCATAATGAGGTCACTCCTTCTCCCCCAGGCACACAACAGTTCTGCTGGGATGCTGAATGGCAGTGCCTTGTAGGCAGATAGACTGAGTGGGCAGCTAGAGCAGTAAGGTGGGTGGTATCATTCTTATTTGACAAATGAGAAAACTGAGGCCCCAACAGATAACTCCCCCAAGAAAGCTTGTCTAGGAAGAGATGGAAATGAGCTTCAAACTCATTAAGAGTCATGGACTTTTGGCAATTTTGGTTGAGGATGAATAGCTCAGGAAACAACTCCTGGGGCAGGGGTAGAGGTGGGGAAGGATGGAGAGAGAGATTGGGAGACAAGCTATATATAATATTATGTGTTAATCCAAGGGCAATTTGGCACCCCAAGGGGGCAGCTGGAAATATCTGCGAGTCACACTGTGAGGTGGGTAGGGGTGCTATTGACATCTAGTGGGTAGAGACCTGGGATGCTGCTAACTATGCTACTGTGCACAGGACAGCACCTCACAGCAAGTAGTTGGCCCCAAATGTCAGTGTGCAAGGTTAAGGAACTTGGATTAAGGTCTTCCAGTGCAGGCTGCTCTCTGCTTCTTCCTTTCTTCTATCTCTGCCCTGGAGATTCCTGCCATACCTTATCTTCAGAACTAAAATGGAAATGGAAGTTTGAGATTCCATTGGGATGGTGCTCTTCCCCAGATCTCTTTGCCATTTAATCGATGTTACTGAAGGGAGATGAAGTGCTTGATCTTAGGGTGGGTGGGCCCTGGTACAGTACCGCATCAGCTCTGTGGCCTAGGGAGGCATTAGTGAACTCTGTGCTATGCTTCCCCATCTGCAAAATGGAGGTGATCATACCCCTTCCGGCCACCTCGCAGGTTTGTTGTCAGAATTCTACAACATAATAGATGTGAAAGAGCTTTCATAAAGGACTGCATAAATGTGTTATTACTAATTCTTATGCCACTAATAAAATGAAGCCGTCATTATTTTGCTCCTGACAACACCAACAGTTGCAGAATGGTTAGAGTTCTGTAGATTATAGTCTTAAAAAGCCATACAGAGATCTGTAAGGGACCCCAAGGTTGCACATAAGCAAACAGCCAGTGATGTACCTTGGGATTATTGAGGTGGGGAGACATGTGACTTCTTGCTCAGTTACTCAAACATCCTTTGTTCACTTCTTGGTATCATCATTACTTTTAGAATCAATATAATAACTTCATTACCCTCCTCCCACCCCTGTCAGGACTGCGAGGGTGCAGTCTAAACAGAATAATTAATTAATGGAAATGTAGAGAAAATAACTCAAATGGCGGCTACAGAAGATCAAATAGCAAAAAGGGACCTGCGGAGATTTTCACTGTTGTTTGAACTTGGACAACACAGATGAGGCTGGGGAAGTCCTGGGATTCCAAATCAACAGGAAGAATATCTTGGAAATACCCTCTTACTTTTTTTCCCTGTCTTGAAGCTATAGAAGATACTGAGGATGACATCTTGACCATCATCTGAAATACAGGCCAGTTCATTGCTGGAGAAGATGTTGTGGGGAGTGAGACAGCCTTGGATGCTGTAATGCATGCAGGATCAGTCTTCTAGGAAGGGCTGAGGAAAAGGTTGCTCAATGATCTGATTTCAGAAATGCCCCCTACTAAAATGTCCCTCCTCCAAACTTCACTGGTGTCTAAAATTTCTTTCAGAGGAAACAAATTTTTCTATAATTAAAGATAAGATTCTATTTTTTCAAGGAGAGAGAATAGTATCTTAAATTTATCCTAAAGTGCTATCATTTGATTACAAAAACTGAAAAAAAGCCCTTTTCCTACTCCATGGTTTGAGAATGGGCTCTAAATAAAAAGGCTGCCTTGCTTTGCCTGGGTATCTATTTATTAACTATAACAAACCTTCCCCAGGATGTCACTGGTTAATACCTTTCTCATGATCACAAAGCCCTGTGCTTTTTCTTTTTTGGTATCTGAATCTAGTTCTTCAGTACATAGTGAAATTCCTGGTACTCCCCCCCCCCCCCGGGCCCCCAGTTTCTACCTACAGACCTATCTTGTGTCTCACAAAGAACCCCACTGAGCATCCATGGAGTAGAGGAAAGAAGATCCCAGGGAACGAGGAGATCTCAGGGCTAAACCTGGATCTACCACTAAATAGTTTGAAAACTCTTTAGACCTTAGCTCCTTTGCCTGTGAGGTGAGAGAACTGGACTAGATTTTTCTAAGGGACTTTCTCACTATAAGATTATAGATTGAAGATAGATTTTCTTCT